ATGACACATTCAAGTCTACTTAATATCTACCAGGATCATAGAAAACAAAATTCATCTTTTGAATGACATTTGTTGGAAAGGGTATGTAGATGGTATAAACTACCTTCTCCTTTCCCCAGTTCAAGAAGACTTTACAAAGTAGCTAAGACAGAAACATTGCTTCCAAGTCAGAGTTGTGGGAAAGGATCAAAAATAAAAGGTTAGTGGAGAGAAAGATACTTACAGTAACACATAAATGGAACAATATCTTTGCCAGTAACCAACAATTTGTTTTAAAAGTAAATTTTTAAAAATCCAAAGTTTTACCTCTTTTTTGTAATAATATTTGAGGAATTGATAACTAAATTGCAATGTGACATGGAAAAATAATGAGATAAAAGTAATTAAACAGTGGATATTTTATACATTTTATAAATTATTTTTTAAAACACCAGTGGATAAGAGAGTGATACATAAACAAGGAATACTAGTCTTTAAGGTAATGAGAAAATTTCATTTTAAGTCTTAGGTCTAAAGGATTAACATTGCTCAAGCCTGTAATCCCAGCACTTTGGGAGGCCGAGACGGGTGGATCACGAGGTCAGGAGATCGAGACCATCCTGACTAACACGGTGAAACCCCGTCTCTACTAAAAAAAAATACAAAAAACTAGCCGGGCGAGGTGGCGGGCGCCTGTAGTCCCAGCTACTCGGGAGGCTGAGGCAGGAGAATGGCGTGAACCCGGGAGGCGGAGCTTGCAGTGAGCCGAGATCCGGTCACTGCACTCCAGCCCGGGCGACAGAGCAAGACTCCGTCTCAAAAAAAAAAAAAAAAAAAAAAAAAAACAATAACTTAACTACACAATAGATAAAACCTTGATATCTATGTATTTCCATGTATGTATACATATAGACTGGTGTGTACAGATGTACTTGTGTGTGTGTGTGTATGTTATGTATGTGTGTGTGTGTGTATATATATATTCCCACATACATAATCATGAAACATAGTTGCTTGGAGAAATATTCAAATCAAGGGACAAAGTGATAAATCTCTTTCGAAGAAATTATCTATTACCATTTCCTAAACACATACTCAATAAAGAAAATATGTTGTTAAATATAATATGTTTATTAACATTTCCAAGATTGCTCCAGGTATAAATTTTCTCTCCGGGCTGAAGCATTTTGTAGTTGCTCACCATGAACAATCATTCAGTTATGCAGAAAAGGTTTTGTGAAAAATATGCCCAGTCCTTTGTTACGGCTATAACTGTCAACAATTTAAGAGTATCCACTGTTGCTGGATCATCCTCTGCTTCACGACATCAGGGGAGGCAAAGGAGGAAGTCTGTCTTTAAGGTGATGGTATCCATCTGTCTATGTATTTCTATCTATCTATCTATCTATATATTAGTCTAGCTGTAATTCCAAACATTACCTAATCCAGCATTCATAAGCTTTTTTGTGCCATAGACTCCTTCGACAGTCTGGTGAGACCTGTGGATACTTTCTGAGAAAAAATATTTTTAATGTGTATAGTAAAATACAGAAAATTACAAAGAAATCAATTATATTTAAATGTGTTTTAAATTTTCAAATTTGGAGGTATTGTTTACCTTTAAAATCTTTAAGATATTGGCCTATTATGTGTTACCCTATCTTTTCCTACCCTTTATTTTTGATCCTTTGCCACAACTCTTAAGTAAAATCTACATTTCTTTAACCTGTTACACATCAATATCTAGCAGCTGATTTAATAACTACCAGAACTTAAAAATAGAGATGAGATGAGCATAAATGACATTTGTGAGATCTACAACACCTATAACATTGTTGTAAAAATGTCTGTGATTTCTATTGGTGACAAATTCACAGGTATTGCTAAAACTAATGTGGTTTGTTGCCTTATTCCTAATTGAAAGAAATGTTCAATTTCAGTGAGAGATTATCGAAAAGAAAGACATAATTTTTTTCCCCATCCATGTTCATGGACTCCTGTATCTTAAAAACCTTTTGGTTTTTTTGCAGTACAGACACACAAGTCTTCAACAGTCTGATTTGGATAAAGCCATAGTGATATATATATTCCTTGTTTAGGAATAAAATGTGTCTACATCTCCTTCCTCTGTTATTGATACGACTGACGTAAATCTTAACAATGCTGAACTTAAACAGAAAAAGCAAGGCTTAATGTTACACATTTTAAGATAACTCATGAAATTGTCAAGGGCAACGGTAAAGCAATGAATTGTTTGAAGACCTCGTGACACACAGGAGAATATTAGAGAATTAAATGATAAAGGAATAAAAGAAAAGGGACTTTGATATATATGGATATTTTAATGGAATAGGGAAGGCCCAAATTAAATGATGATTATACGGTGGTCTGGAGATTTCACATACAAAGATATTTACTACCCAGTGTTTCTAAATGTTGTTCTGTGGCTGCAGATCTGGGATTGCATAGCATGGACTACAGAATGAGATGTAGATAGAGTCTGGAAAAGCTGGAGTGAAACAAATGTCTGCAAGAATAGAAGGAAAGCATTGTTCAGGAGCTTAGTTTGAGAGGAGAGTGGGGAGAAATAGTAGAATCAAGTTGGTGATGGTAAGGAGTGGAGCTCAGCATGAAAGAAAAAGAAGTCTGAAAACCTGAAACAAAATTGATGTTTCCCATTGCCTGGACATCAGTATCCACTGTCTTCTGGGTAGCAGTTGAGGCTTTATAATGCATTCCTTACTTCCAGGTAAAACTATTCATTATTTTCTAAATACACTCATGTGCTTTCCCATTAGCATTACCTTTGTAATGCTCTTCATTTAGTCTGGAATTTACTTTTCATTTCTACTTATGAAAATCTCACTCATTCTTCGAGGTGCAGCTGAAAAGTCAACTTTTTGAAGTATCTTCTAATCAATAATGTTCAGTTAGAATAAATCTCTGCTCATCCAACTTTGGTCTTTCATCATAGGACTCACTATACTATATCTGTTCATTGAATTTGTCATATAAATAACTCATTAGAATGACTTGATCTTTATAGCAAACATCTTACGTTCCTCATGTTTGGTATTCTCTGCAGCACTGAGTATTATAGCAAGACAATAGGTACCCAATAAATGTTTATGTACTATCAGTGACATCTCATCAACATGAACTGACTCAAATGATTCTGCACCATTCATAGAGCCCTGTTGTTTCTGACAAATAGAAATGTCTAGGATAAAGACATAAACAGCTACTCATTAGATGCCAGCTCCAGAAATGACCTTGCCGGCCATGTCTCCTTTGTTGCATTTGGATGATGACAAAATTCGAGTTCAGAAAAATGTTCACATTTTTCACTCTGAAGATCACACAACCAAAACAACGATGCCGATTTCCCGATACCCAGTCCACTGATCTTTTTTGGTTTCACCATAAAATCTATTAAGAAGAGAAGAGAATAGAAACTCTGGATTGAAATGCCATAATTTCTACCACATTAAATTTAGCTTTTAGGGAGTTTGAGTCATGCTTTTTTATTTAATAGCTACAAACTTAAAGTAAGGGGAACAATGGAGTACTATTCAGCCATAAAGAAGAATGAGATCCTGTCCTTTGCCAGAGTGTGGAAGGAATTGGAGGTCATTATGTTAAGCGAAATAAGCCAGGAACAGAAAAACAGACTTTGCCTGTTTTTACTTATTTTCAGGAGCTAAAAATTAAAACAATGGAACTTATGGAGATGGGGAACAGAATGATGGTTGCCAGAGGCCAGGAAGGGTAGTGGGTGGGATGGAGGGAAAGGAAGTGGAGATGGCTGATGGATACAAAAAAATAGTTAGAAAAATGAATAAGATCTAAAATGGGATAGCACAACATGGTGACTACAGTCATAATAATTTAATTGTACATTTAAAAATAACTAAAGGAGTAGAATTGGATTGTTTATGGCACAGAGGGTAAATGTTTGAGCAATGGATACCCCCATTTACCCTGATGTGATTCTTATGTATTGTATGCCTGAATCAAAGTACCTTATGCACCCATAAGTATATACATATACTATATATGCATAAAAATAAAAAATTTAAAAATAGAAAAGATGGCAAATAACATATCACAGGAAGAACTGGAACAATCATGAGCTTCAAGGTGAAAGATACAAATGAACAAGCTATAAAGAGTTGAAGAAGGCAAAAGAAGCAATGTGGAGGCAGAAGCTAGAGAAAGAATAAAGAGCAAAGGAGAAGCTGACATGTCTCTGTGATGTCTCCCATCGTCACTGTGATTCTTTCATTTCCTCAGATCAAAAGCCTTGGAGTCATCCCTACTTCTTTCTTACCACCTCATCAGCAAATCTTGTTGACTCTACCCTTAACATCCATTCAAATTTGACCATCTCTCACCATCCCCACAGTCATCTCTTAACTTAATTATTGCAATATCCACCTAAATGATATGCAATTTTGTCTTTGCAATCTATTCTTATAGTAAATAAGGTGACCTATTAAATGTTTGTGAGATCACATAATTTCTCTGTTCAAAGCTCTCCAATGGCTCTCCACCAGTGTCAAGATAAGTCAATGTCCCTTTAACTCTCTAACCTCAACTCCTACTGTCATGCCCACTCACCCAATTCCAGCCCCATTGGCCTCCTCTCTATCTCTCTAATCCAGATCCACTACTACCTCTAGTCCTTTGAATTTTCTCTTTCGAGGCAAGGTAGAGCCCGGCTGATTCCACATGGCTATTTCAAAATTCGAGTTCTCAGTGCAATCTTCCCTGGCCACGTATCTAGATTGAACGCCCCTTCTTCTCATGATTCATCTGCCTGCCCATGCTTTCTTTTTTCTCCTTAGGTTTTGGCACTAAACAATTTACTCAGTTATCTTGTGCATAGTCTGATGCTCAAGTAAAATGTTAGCTCAATGAGAGATTTTTGCCTTTTTCATTTTTTTTTTTTTGGGGGGATCACTGATACATCCCCAGTGCCTGGAACACTGACTGATATGCAGTAGGTGCTGAACAAATATTTGTTGAATAAGTTAATGAATAAATGTGCAAATCACACTCTGCTTCCAAGGCTACCACCGAAATTTCTGTCAACATCGTTTTCCTTAGGGGCACTAATTTCTCCCACCACATCTTCAAGTGCACACATCTTCAAGCCTTGCACACTCTGTTTTGTGGCTTTCTCCAATGCATATCCACCTACAGAGTGGTGAGATCATCAGACCAAGGGAAATATGATGCTTTGTACAAATAACAATTAGGTCTTTTCTTGACATAGTCTTACTCATATCCTTGGCAAATTCTTACAGAGTGATTCCCAATGTTACATAGAGAAGTGCAGAGAAATCCAGACTACCTGGTTGTCACCTGTCTCCATATGACTGTTTGGATAGGAACAGTCGAAGGATATGTTAAAGGGAAACTCTCCATCTCTCTCCAGAACCACATTCTTCACCCAGAGTTGGCCCCTCTTCCTGGACCGAGAGAAATTTCATTTTTATAAAATAGGTAAGATAATAGATTCACTGAAATAGTGATAACTAAACAGAATAATCTCATTAAGGTTATGGGATTGAACTAAAGATAATAATTCACAATTGAATATCAGAAACAGCCTCTTATAAGGAAGACCTATTAAGCCTTGCTCCTAGATAAAGGAAAACTATACCCACACTCTAAACTCATTTAATACCAAGCAAATTCTCCAAAGGATAGTTGCAATTTTTTATTTTAGAGATAGATTGGACAACTTTCTACTGACTAAAGAACTACCTACTTGGTCACCGGAATTGATCAAGTATACCAAATTACCGGAGTATGCATAAAGAGGTATATGTGCAAGGAAAAGGGACCAGAGTCACATATTTTGCTCTGAGAGAGGCCACTGTTCTTCAGACCAAAAGATTGCTAAAGCCATGATTGGCAGGTACAAAATCCTTTGGCTACCAAGAAACCGGAATAAAGAGTTTGGCCAAAACTGGAGAATAAACTAAGGAAATCTCCAGAAACGACAGAAGCTACATCTAGAAGTCAGAAGTCATTCTTTTAAGCCTTTGGAACTTTCTGTATTTTACCTTTCCCTAGTCTTTACTGCTTACTTTGTCAGTATTTTTCATGATCACGAATTTTATTCATTTTGTCTATTTTATTATACAAATTCATACAGTTTTAAATCATATATGGAATAAGGCAAAAAAGTTGGCTAGCTAAATATAGTAGATGTACATGTATAAAGACATATTATCCATATTTTACAGATAACGAAACTGAAACTCAAATAATTCAAATGAATATGTTCAAGGTGACGTATCTCATGAAATTGTAGAGCTGAGACACATATGAGGATCATTTAGCCCATGTTCCTTCTACCAAACCACACTTCCTTTCTGTGATATGCCAACAAGTGTAATTCTTTGTCCAAAATGCTGGTCCAGTATAAAACATATTACCTTGTATTGTGTGTGTTTGCACAAGGCTGTTCCCCTAGCTATGGTATGAACTCTTCAAGTTTTCACATGTAAACATGGAGCGAGCAATCAGATTTGCCTCTCTGCACATAGCCGTGTGATAAGCCCAGTGCCAGCACAGCAATATTCATCCTGGCTAGAAGCGTGGTCATGTGAGTGCACACGCATTCGTGTGAGCCTCAGTCTCTCCTAGTGCTTTACCCTCCTGCCCATTTCTGGTTCTCATCCAAGGTCGTTAATGTGCACACCAGGCTACTGTCCAAAGTAATGTGTTGGACATGAATGTAGGATTTGGGGCTGTCTCTCTTGTCATCGTGCAGCACCAGTCATATAGGAGATGTTTTGTATGAGAAGTTGAATTACTTAAAATGATTACAATGTTAAAATGAGGGACATTTATATTATATTCCATTTTTTCTGGTCATAGTAACATTCTTAGCAACAATTCATCTATAATGACTTTGTGAACCCTCTTAAAAATCCATATGCATCAGGAGGTCCCACCACAACCATTCAAGCCAAGTGAGGGAGGCTTCAAGAAACCCCCTCAGAGAGCTCCACATGCAACCCCTAGAATTTGGAAGGCACAGAGCCTGGAGAGTCAGGAAAGAGGCCAAATGTACAAGGCTTGCAGGAGTTACTGCCTTTTATGGTCAAGGAGAAGAGAGGGCTATGGTGAGAGCAGACGGCACTTCCAGAGTTTATGGGACAAAAGAGCCAAATGGTTCCATTTAGTCAGAATGGATGCCAGGGAAAGTAGCAGAACTCGAGTTACCATCAAAGGGCCATGCCCAAGTGGCCATCCTTCAGAGTACGATGACTCCAACAGAAAGAATCAGGTCCTTGGGTCAGCCAGAGGGTGTATCTCCTCTGCCAGGGAATGAGGCTATAATAGGGGTCTCCAAGGAGCCCCCAAAATATCTCATCTGCCACCCAGAAGGCTACAATATCCCATGAATGACTACTACTAATTAAGAAATACCATTACGCCTCCTTCCGCTTCTCTCCCGCACCTCACCCTGATCTTGAAAAGTGCACAGAACAAGGTAAACATAGAAAGCAAAGACAGACGGCACATCCTCTTTCCCTGCTGCAGATTTCTGAAACTGAGTGGGGCTGCGAGTTATGGGGCAGAGATAGGGAGAAGATCTAAACTGAATGAGAGGTGAAATATTTAACATTCCAGACACTGGCCTTCCAAGTTGTTTGATCATGAGTTCTGCTGAGTATTACTGTCACTTTTTTTTTTTAAATTCCATCATAGACAATTAAGCTACAATAGCTAGGAAGAATCAAAATCAAATGGACACAACTATTCTACAGGTAGGTGACTCTAAGCCAGGATTGAGAACTACTGGTCTAGTTGAGATGAATACGATCTCGGAGAGGCAGAGATTAGTAAAAATCAATCTCTCTCTCAAATATTTTAAGGGTCCTCAGCCTGACCTTGCTCTGCTCCAGGTCCATCGAATCATTTGGAACCCACATAAATAGGATCAAGAATATGTACATTATATTAATTCCACCTGTATATAGATGGCCAAGTAATTTCAAGGCTGGAAGGAAAAGTTCAGCTCTTGCTACCTTGAAAAATGCCCAACAATCTGTCCTGCAAAAAGGTTGAAACGTCAACTCATGTTGCTTCCTACAAAAGTGAATTAGAGCGTGACCTCAAATGTTAATATATTCAGATCTTTCTTCTACCTTTAGAAGGTCAAGTATTCACAACAGCCATAAAATCTGCACTAACCCATCCTCTCAGGATTTCTGAGTCTGTAGTAACAAATTATACAACTAAAGAAAAAGAAATCCCCTATCGATGGAAAGTTATAGTCTAAGAAAAAGTAAGATTTTATGAAGATGCAGCTAACCAGAGAAAGGTATCATCAATAACAAATTAATACCTAATTAATAAGTAATAATAGTTATATCATGCATTGCAATTTATAAAACACTTTTGCCCTTGTCATCTGATTCGATCCTTGTAACAGTTGTATTTGATGACTATTACTTACATTTCATTTTCTGTAAAGGGAAATAGAGATTATTAAGAGTTTAAGTGACTCATTCAAGGTTAATGGCATAGCTAAGACCTAAACTCGGGTCTTTTTCAGGAAATCCCGAGCCTTTCAAGTGCCTTTTCGTATATGTGGGGATGTGTCGGTGTTTCTTGAACGTGTTTTCCTGTTAGATGTTACTAGTAAAAACTTTCTTACCACACTAAGTAAATGCAAAAATCTATTTTAAATTTTATTGATACATTATACCACTTATAAATCAGGAAGATTTAATTTATTCACTAAAAGAGTGTTTTTCACTAGAGATTACCGGGCATTTTCTATTCTTCATTATTGTTAACAACAGTTAAAAACCAATAGTAACACAATAGAACCAGTTTGGGACAGAGTCCTCAAATACTAGATAGAATTCTTTTAAAACTTTTTTTTTTTTTTTTGGTCTCAGTATTGTCTAAAGCAAGCCAAATACACTATAATACCTCTGACAACTAACCAAATAGACATGAATGCAATTATCTCCAGGAGTTACTTCTGACTCAAGTAAAGAAACACGAGGATAAAATAAAGAGCTCTCTAGCTTGTCACCTAAAAAGCCAGTCTTGCAAAGAATGCAGTAATGGTAACTCACATAAAAGGCAAAAATTTGAGTAATAGTGATGAATATGAGACCCAGTCAATGTCTCATTTTAAATAACATCTGTGGCTCTTTGTAATCAATAAAAATAATAGTATGATTCTCTTTACTCTGTGTTATTTTGTAGAGGCTAAAGGAGAAATAGCTGTCAGCAGAACAAGGTACCGGGGACACTCTCCTCAGATTTTACAAAATCAAACAGCCAAAGCAAGGCTGGACAGAACAAGAGGCCAGGGGCCACAGAAAAGCAGATGCCTTGGCATGAAGGCAGCCTATGAATGTTGGTTTCCCAGGATTTTGATGGCAGGAGTGTTTATCTTACTGAAAGCAGAGTCTAATTGAATAAAAGAGTTTTTTTTTTTTAAATAGTGAGCCATTAATTAGGCGGCATGGGGTAAAGCACAGGCTTTAGTAATGTACAAGGCTTCTGGGAGCCACAGACGATGCTCATCGATTCTGTCAGAGCGCCAGAGGAATGAGACAGCCGAATGGTTTGCCTCTTCTGGAAACCTACCTGATACATTTGGAAGTGGCTTCCTCATGCATTGCCTCTGTTCAAATCATCCCATAATTACTCTGGCACTGTAAGCTGCGAACTTGGCGGGCTCTGAGAGATATCAGATGTTTTTCTCATGCTTGCTGAACCTCTCTTAGACAAATTTTGCATTGTTTTTTGTGTCAGTTTTATCGTGGAACATCGTGTTGCCATCTGGGAAGAAAAACAACATGGCAGAGGAGCAGCTGGTGAATGGCAATGGCCAAATAAACATTGGCAGGCGCCTGCCATTAGGTGAGATAAGAGGGATGGGCAGCCGCCAACACCAACCAGCCCTCACCATTGGAGCATCTCTCACTGTCCTCTTCTCTTATCTTCATTCAAATTCATGGCAGTGTGTTTTATTCTGAGGCTCAAGCTCTCCAAGTGTCAGGTGTCGGGCCTTCCCCCCTCTGTCCTGGAGGAAGAAGATAGGTCTGTAAAGTCCTGGCTGATTGAATTTCTCTCCCTGGGTAGGACAATGGGCAAGGGGAAGCATCTGATACCTTAACAGAAGGGCTCCCCTTTGGGATGAGAAGATACCAAACCTTTACCAAGCTTTCCAACCAATTTGTGGATCTTTTTTTTGTTTTTTCCTCATACCTAACACCATCAGTATTCATGGATTTTAAACTCTTAAATCTTTTAAGGACTCTGTGTGTTAAACAAATAAAAATAATATAAACCTGCCTTTGATAGCAGGGCAACAAGAGAAGGTAAATTACGTCAGATTAACAAAATTATACCCCATACTTTTTTGTTACTAAGATATAATTTTTCCATCGTAATATTTCTAAAAGTGAGTTGCACAGAATACATGTCTAAAGAATATTTGACAACATTCAGACAGCGGAATGAACTGTGAAGTGCCAACAGTCCTCATTGCCTGCACATGTGCAAACTAGTGAACATTTAAAGGTGAACATTTGTTCAACGACCTCCACTGCATTATTTCTATGGGTGGAACCAACATAGTTCAATTTTTAACTTTAGCTTGGATCCCAAGTTTTGACTTAAAATATCAAAAAAGATTACATTGTGATATAGTATTAATTTCTTTAAATTGTTCAGTTTATAGAAATTTGCTTCATAATAGGCCATGTAATCAGAGGCAATAAGAATTGCTGAATCAATCAAAATAATTCAAAACTTTCTATGTTAGCAGGCATTGGCATCATGAGTACCTGTGTCCTGGAGACTGACCCTCGACATAAAACATCTGTCTGACACAGCCTTCCAACTGATTTTCAACATATAATTCAATTAAGGGGAAAATTCTCTCTCCCTGCCCCACTGCCTTTGTGTGTGTGTGTGTGTGTGTGCGCGCGTGCGCACGTGTGTGAATTTAACCAAAAAAGAAATGGAAAAAAATGAAGTTACAAGCAAGAGGAGCAGTACTGTACACCACCATGTCATTTATAAAGGCCAATGGCTGAGAACCTTTGAATGCTAAAGTGTAAAAAGCTTAAACACTTATTTTGATTATGATAATTACAAAAATGACATCAAATCATATGCATCATTCTTTTTTTTAAATGCACAAAACTGATGTACAGGTAATATATAGTTTCTTTCACAACCAAAAAAAAAAAATCGTTGATGATGTTATAGGAATTATGCTAACTTTCAGAATGGTTGAGAATCATCTAATTCATCCTTTTATTTTAAAAACTAAGAAACTTAGTCCCAAGATTCCACACCTTATTCGGTGCAGAACTCAAACAGAACTTACCAGCAAACAAGGGGACTTCTGAAAAAGGAGAATGTAAAAGCAGAAAATTGAATGCCTTGTCTCAGGGACAGGTCAAATTAGGACCAGGCAGTAACTCTCCTTAAACAACATTAGAACAAATTCTCTGAAAAAAAAATCCCTGGAACTGAATCAATCCTCCTTTATACATCTATGATTAAACACAATCAAGACAACTGTTGGGGAAAATCTAAGAGAAACTATATCATAACGAAAACTTTTTAAAAGCCTTTTTAGATTTATTTCAACATTACTCATGAAAAAGTCAATCACTCTGAGTGTTTCAATAAATTATAATTAATGTGCAGCGAACTTCTTTCATCAAAATTCTATTCATTCTTTTGACATCTGTCAGGTAAGTGCATGACAATGGTTCTTAGCTTGATTTGATCTCCAGTGAGATTAATCGTATTCATCTCTTGTTCTATTTTTAATTTAGAAAATTTGAGATTATAATCCATTAGTCTATGGTCCATAATCTCTCAACTTAATAAGGCTTTACCTACAAACCAGTCTTAATCAATAATTACAAGACATTTTGTTCTAAGGTAGCAGGAAAATATTTTCCAAAATAAACCCATAATTGTCACAAAGAAGCCATAAGCCTTTTCTTTTCCAAGCTTGAGCATTTACTATGTACATAAACACCAGATAGACTCTGTTGTGTAATGATGCCAAGAAAGGTGAGTCTTGGCCCCATTTTACTGATGAAGAAAGAAATTGAAGTCCAGAAATGGCAAATAGTTCCCCCAAGGTCAAGCAGCTCAAAAACCTAAAGAATCTGACCCAAAGGCCTGTGACTTTAACCACTATGCTGTAATGGAAGGTGTTAAATAATCACCAAATTAGCAGACTCTAACTAGACATTGTAACTTTTAAGTTAGTTACAGTAACCAGGTAGGCTTCCTGGAAGAACTGAAAAATGGTATAAGCTTGAAGGATAAATAAACTTGGTAAAGGTAGATGTTGTCAAAGTAAATAAATAAATAAATACAACTGAAAGGAAACTAAAAATAAAAGGACAACAAGGAAGGGAAACTCAGAAAGGAATAGTTGAAATTTTGCAGAGGGCCTTCAGGAGAAAAAATTTGAGTTGGAATTAAACGCTGGCCAAGGCAGTGCAAATTAATTTGTAAACGATGGATGTCCCAGTTGGAAGACTTCCAGAGAGACACAGCAGTACGGGCAGGAAGTAGCCTCCCTGTGATGAGTAAGTCACCACCTTCCTGTGAAGGGTAATAGCCTCACCTCTCAGTGGGGCTCAGATGACAAAATGCAAGAAGGTGACAAAGCTAATATGATCATTGCATGATAAATTAAAGCATATAATAACATGGAGATTTTTCACGCCCAAAGATAGGATATTTTCACTTAATAGGATCAATGAAGAAAGAAGCATATCTTTTCACCATTGCAAATCACCCAGAGCAGCTTTGCCTCTGCAGTGTTGCGATGAGGTGATTTTGAGATAATTACAAGTTAGTCTTCTGATGGAGCAGAAAGTCCCTGTCAGCAACAAAATTTCAAAAAAAAAAAAAGAATAAAATATAACCATTAAATAGTAAATGTCTTAGTCTGTATAGCAATAACAAAACACCTAAGATTGGGCAATTTTCAAACAATAGAAATTTGTTTCTCACAGTTCTAGAGTCTACAAGTACAAAATCAAGGTGCTAGCAGGTTCAGTGTCTGGTTACAACTGGGTCTCTGCCTCCAAGATGGTGTCTTGAATGCTGTGTTCTCTGGAAGGGATGGTTGTTGTGTTTTCACATGGCAGAAGAGATAGAAAGGCAAAAGAAGGCCTAGCTGTTACAGTTATCTTCAGCCCTTTTATGGTGCTTTTCCCATCCATGAAGTTGGCGCCATCGTATATAATATATACATTTATATAGTATATAATCGTATATAATATATGCATTTAAATGTATAAATATATACATCTTTTTAAATAAATGCTAAACATTTATTTTAAAAGATATATATATATATATAGTAAATGTGATAACCTGAATTTGTTTCAGCAATAAATGTTATTGAAATAAAACTATTTGGTTTTTAAATCCACTTAATTCCTAGTTCATTTAAAGTTTATCTAACCTAAAGGCCCTGCCTTTTAATACTGTTGCTTTGGGGATTAAGTTTCAACATGAATTGCGGAGGGACACAAACATTCAAACCATAGCACCAAACACTCCAAGAATTTAACAATAGGGCTATGTAAGTTAAAGTCCGGGCTTTGAAGGGCCCAGATTCAAGATTCTGAGGCAGGAAAATCTTGTCATATTGACATTGGCTAAAAGGGCACATGGAGTTTGAAAAGATGAGCAAAGTATCCTGAGTAGAAACGATTCTAACATTGCATACTTTCAAACAGCCAGGCCTGGGATAAGGCGAAGCAGGTACTGGGGGTGTGAGTTCCTGCCAGCGAGTGCTCATAGATGGGAACCCCGAAGCCTACAGGGTCTGTATAAATATGGAAGGCAATTTATTATGACCTCTCTATGGAGTGCTGGTAGGCAATGTCAAGTGCATGAGACCCTGCAAGTGGGAATCCTTTGGGAAAGCAAGTGCTAGGAGCGAAGAAGTTCAACCTGACGATAAACTCCTTACAAAATGAGATGATACCTTCTTTATATTAAAACCCTCAGAAGCAAACACAATTCTCAGTACACAGTAAGAGTTCCATAAACATTTAAGAAATAAACAGAGGCATGATGTCCCTTCTATGATGCCGTGAGCTGTAGTAGAGAAAGAAGCAACCTTGGACAGGGATAAAATGGGATAACTTAGGAGCTGTTATCTGAGAAGCACAGGAGTCTCCTCCTCTCGCTGACCTCCAGAAGCCCTCCTGGCAGGCTCCAATGTGCTCATGAGGGGGTAATTTCTCCACATTAAGTATCACCCCTCTCCCTGCCAAATGGCCCTGGAAATGGCACGTTCATGAAGTACTAATATCTAACTGATGTCATTCTCTGAAACATGAGTGGCATTGATAGCCTGATTTGGAGTTGTCAAAAACAAGTAAAGAAAAGAAAAGAAAAAGAAATGTTCTAAAAAGAAGCTGCTCCCTTAACAATTTGCCTTGAACTCCAAATGGAAAACACCCCTCATCCTTCGAAACACGTAGGTACTGCCACACTTTAAAGCATTAGGCAATGTTTGGATTCTCTGCGCCTATGTCCCTCCTTTCTTTCTCTCCACTTCCTTTCAACTATTCAGTAACCTCAGCTCCAGGAAAACCCATGTGCACGCGTAGTCTCCTCTGAGTAAAAACAGACCCATTGTGGTACATCAGCCTCCTGGCACCAGGTCATTCTACGCCCTTTCATTCAAGCTACCTATCATTTACTTACCCTACCAAATATTAAAGTATATTAAACAGTTACAATAGCTACAATCCTATGGATCTGGATAAATACAGACAGAAAAAAAGGTCAATAGATGGCTTAGAAATAAACAACACTAGAATTTATTTTAAAAGATATATAGAGAGAGTAAATGTGATAACCTGAATTTGTCTCAGCAATAAATGTTACTGAAATAAAGCTATTTGGTTTTTAAATCCACTTAATTCCTAGTTTATTTAAAAAATTAAGTGAAAAAAATCTAAACTTTAAAAAAATAGAGAAAAATAAAAGCTAACTTTATCAATTCCCTGGCCTTTTAAACGTTAAAGTTAGATAAGAAATTACAGAAGAAATTTAAATTTGACTACATATTACTTTAAGTCTTTATATCAGAAAACACCTTGAAACAAAATTTAAAATATAATAGAAAAGTAATTTATTTGGCAGCTGTGCCTTAATTTTCCTTAGGGCAAACAGTGTTCCCTCTTGGCTTAATTGTGGCTGTCTCCATTCCTCCAGTGGTGGACACTTCAGATAACTGTGACCAATCCCACGTTCTACATCCCTAGGCAGAATGACCATTTCAGAAATAGGCGCATGGCCCATGCCTGAGACTCGGTTCAAGAGGTTGTACTAAAATGACTGGGAAAGAGAATCCTCTTTACACAGGGATGGCTGAGAAGGCTGAACTTCTGCCAGGTCATTTTGCCTCCAGATAGAAAAAAATGTTGGCCTGAATGAGGTCAATCCAGAGGAAATCCAAGTTGTGAGAATGGACAGATTCTGAGCCTGAATGATGCTATTAAGTCCTTCAACTCAGCTATCTCTAAAGGCAGTTCTCCAGAGCCTTCAGTGGTGTGAACCAATAAATTCACATTTTTGTTAAGCTAGTTTGAAGTGGTTTTCTGTCTCTTACAACCAAAAAATATTAAAATTCAAAATGAGGAAAAAAGTATAGTAAACATTGCATAACAATGGTAATTTTCTGAATACACAAATTACCCATGTAAATTGATAAGAACTTTGCCTCAAAGAAAAAATGAGCAATTTAATGAAAGGATAAAATAGCTAATTAAGAAAATTTTAAAATACACCATGTTAATAATGAAAGAAATTCAATTAAAGCATATTTCAC